GCCCACCCCTTCCTTATCTCCCCCCGGCCGGCTCCGCACCCACCCCCGTGTGCTGAGCGGGGAGAGGGCGGTCGGGCAGCCGGCGGCGGTTCGCAGTGATAATCCCCCCCCCACCCCTCCTCCTCCTCCTCCTCGGTGGCTGGGGCCCTGAAAGCCGTCGGCTGGGCCCTGCGTAGAGAGGGCTGCCCTGGAAGAGGATAAGCCTCTCTCCCCCGCCGCTGGACCTGCGCAGCAGCAAAGGCCGACGAGTTGGCTGCAGAGGTTGACATGGGGGGCAGCATCCCTCGCTCGTAGCGAAGGGGAGGCCTCTCCGCTTGGCCAGGGTTGTGACGCTTCCTTGTCTTCGCTGTCCCCCATCTCGAGGTTCTTGAGTTTGGGGCGGTGGGTCGGGAATCGAGCTCGCCCTTCGGGTACCCAAAGCTCCCGTGCTGAGCACCCCGAGATAGAGCCGAAGGTTACTGCCAGCTTCCCCAGGAGCGCTGCGTTTGTGAGCCTGATGGCAGGAGACAAAGTCACGGGCAGATTGCTTCGGTGACCGTGGTCTGAAAGCGGAGGCAAGCTGGTTGCTGACTGAGGAAAGGGCTTCGTTGCTTGCGTTGGGTCGATAGTGCGGGAAAAGCCCTCGGACCTGCACATCGACTGGGACTCCTGGCACCTGGGGCTTCCTCTTGCCAGAACTTTTAAATCCCGGTGTTCCCATGTTGAAAGCAACAGTTCCTGTCATGCACCCACAACCGATGTGACTGCTTGTGCCTTGTCTGGCTCTCCCATGTGCTCAGTTCCTGGAGACCCTCTTACTTGCAGGGCAGCAGGAGGCTGGGCAGCAAAGTTTCTCTCGGCTCAAGGACTCTTGGTAAGAGTTTGGTGCTGGTCCGAGTTCAAGATTAGCCGTGTTCCCTGTGCTGTTAATTGTCTTGGCTATCGAAACCCTAACTTATTATATAAGTACGTTATAGACACGGGTAGAGAAGGTCTCTGCCTGGAAGAATTTACAGCCTAATGAGGGTTGAAGTTGTGTGCAGTGGAGCTAAAAGGTCATCCCGTCATTTTAAAAAGTGTTGGTTGTTTTTTTGGTTTGGTTTTTTTTTTTTAAGGAAATGTTTTATTTCTGAATGTTTCTGCTGGTCCTGGTTGGAAATTGCAGTATGTGGGCACTTCTGGAGGCCAATCAGGAAGAGACGGGCTGGCTTAATTCTGATGGTGTGCTGGAGATGTTGTATTTAAACAACTTTTAAAAGGGGAAGGAAAAAAAAAAAAGAGAGACAGAGAGAAACTGAGCAGTTTATTAGAGAGGAGCCATTCTTGTTTAATATTCATTCTGGCCCCTGTTTAGGCTTGTTCTGGTGAAAGAGGGAGTGAAGAGGCGCAACCCAAACATGGGTGAGATGGTGGGATTTTTCCACCAAGCCTTAATTGCGTTAGTAACTCAGGGGAGGGTTTTGCAAGGCATGAGCTCTTAATAAATTTGGTGGTGAATGAAAGTAGTTCTTCATTTTCTGCTGATCTGCAACTCTTTATTTTTTGCTCTTTATTTTTTGCTCATATATGCATCTTGTCGCTTTGTGGTAGCGGGTCCGATGATGATCTTTAGCTGTATTGTGGGCTTAATAAGAAGCTCTGCTTTGTAGAGGTGCTGGGCCAGCCGCGGCTGGGTGGAATTAATTTTGGCATGGTGAATGCGGTGGGTTCGCTTTGTGTTTTGTGACTTTTAAAGCAGAATTGAAAATTACAGTTGTTTTCCCGGCGTGAGAATCTGGATGTCGGCATGGGACGCAAATCAGGGAAGAAATTTATGCTTATATCGAGGTGCTGCGATAGTTTGGTTGCACTGCCTGTCTTACTCAAGACCTCATTTGGCAGATAAAGTGCTACCTGAGTGCTGGGTTTTAACTCTGTAGAATCGAGTCCCCTGCAGGTGTCCAACCTAAAAACTGGGGGCGGGGGGGAGGCTGTGAAATTCCTGGTCTGCACTTGAGACGGAGCCTAAATGCTTGAGAACTGTGGCTTAATCTTGATTAAAACTGACACTTCAGGATTTTTTTCCCAGTCTCAGGATGCTGCATTTATTGAAAGAGAAGACTTCTGTGGCAAACAATTAAAATCCTACTGGTTATCTTGCATAGTCAAAGCAATAAATAGTTGCTCTTAACTATGCTCTCAACCAGCCTTAACCTCAAATTTGAAGAGACTGGTTTCAATCTGTAATTAAAAGCCTTTTGACGAGCAAAACTCGGGGAAAGGGAGAAAGACAGTGAGTCTCTAGGATGAAGAGAAGCATTTGCACCCAATCTCATGACCCTTTGATCCAAACTGGCACATGTTTGTGTTCCCGATTGGTGTTAGCCATGTGTCTGTCCCGATACCTGTGCCTGGAGCATCCCGCTGGTCCTAGAGGAGCTCTGGTAGGACGTCAGAGCGGGAGTAAACGAGGTCAGACAGGCGTCGGGATCCTCCGTGAGTATCCAGGGACAATTGTTTCTCGCCCAGCTCCCTGGCCGTATCGTCTTCCCTCCGCGCATAGTTTCAGTTTCCCTGCCTCCCCGGTGTCATTGCTGGCTCCTGTAGCAGAGTCCGGACGTGACTTCCACAGTGCAAACGGTGCAAAAGTCGTTCTGTGCCTCGAATCGCGGTGGGGCTCCTTCCCCACCCCCGGACACCCAGCCGTCTGAGGGACTTGTAAATCTTCCTGCAGGATCTCGGGCAGCAGCTCCAGGCTGCAGGTGGAAGGAAACTATAGGGATCAGCGTCCTCTCTTAATGTGACAAGGTGCGAGAAACTGGAAACTGGTGCGAGCTGCCCCGTGGCTGCAGGTGGGAGCCAAGGCCACGTCGGTGAGATGAGCCGCAGATCCCCTGGCAATCAGCGGCTTTCCGACGCCGTTGCTTCGCCGACCCCTTAAAAAATGCGTACAGCCGGACTGTCAGGAGCACAGTCTCCCTGACGACAGCCTTGCTGTCTCAAATACTTTTTGCCGATCTCCTCGAAGCTGTGCATGGATCCGTGTGCCCTTCCGGGGTGCCAGGGCTCGGGCAGAAACACACGGCGCAGGCGCTTGCTGGGTGATTTCTTTGCCTGTGAAGGGTTACCACCTTCGGGACCCTTTTCCTCCCGCTTTCCACCCCTGTGGTTCCGTAATGCCTATCTGAAACTGTGTGAGATCCTCTCCCTGCTGCGGGAAGGACTGCTGCCCTGCTTTTTTTTAAGAGCAGGGGATGCTCCCAAGTGTCCCAGCGCTGTGTTTTAACTCCCTCTTGCCTGCTCTTAAACTGCAGTTGTGTGCCCTGTTTCCTTCCTGGTTCGTGCACCTACTTATTTCCCACCGGCAAACTGGAAACCAGTAAGTAGATTTTTTCTTTTTTTTTCTTTTTTTTTTTTTTTTTTTTTTTTTTTTTTTTTTTTTGTTTGCTTGAGTGCCTACCCGACACGGAGCTGGGCAAGTATTGAAGGTAGGCTTGTAGCTACAGGTTGCTGCTCTCTAGTTACTCGGAGCCTCTTGCCCCAACAGGCAGAGTACATGCGGTACCGGTTCAGCGTTCCCTCCCTTCATCCCCGTGCTGCCCAGTCGTGCGCCGAGGAGGGAAGGAAAAGAGCTTCATGGCAGGACAGCATTGCCGGGGATGAAGCGCGTGGCATGCTTGCTCTCAGGATTCGCTTTTGCACGTCGCGTGGAGTCAAGAACGGCGAGACGAGCTGTCTGTTTATCCACAAACTAGGAATTACATAAGGGACTGCCCTGCCTGGTATGCTCTGCTTTGTCAGTAAACTCCAATCTTTTTTTTTTTTTTTTTTTTTTTTTTTCCCCTTTTTTCCCCCCTTCCTGGTGTGGAAAAGGCAACCCGTCTTCGAGGTGCCATTTGAAGCAATTAGGTTAATGCTATACCTCCAACATCGAACGAGGAAGGCAGTAGGAGCAGGGCAGGAAACGTCAGGCTTCTCAGAGGGGGAGTACGCGGAGGCTGAGAGGGGGAACCTGTGACATGGCTGCGGGATGGGAGAGGGACGGGTTGATTTTTGGGGCTCGAGGGGGAGCTGGGCTGGAGAACCGGGTGTGCAGGGAGCAGGTCAGGAAACAGGCGAGCGCTGGGGGGGGTGCTGCAGGAATGGGGGGATTTGGGATTTGAGCCATTCTTATGGTTCTCTCAGTTTAGGAGAAGGAGAGAAGCTGCGACAGGGGAAGGGGATGTGGTGCAAGGGGGGCAGATGCTGTCAACCTTTCTTGGGGGAAAATGCTGATGGTGACTTGGGGGGATTTTGGCCAGAGTGGGGAGTGCTGGCTCTGGACTCTTGCTGGTCTGTGGTTGTGCCTGGTCTCTGAAGGGGAGGAGGGTATAAAAATATGACCCGCAGAAGCTCTAGTTTTCATCCAGTCTTGAGCAGCTGGGACATGCCGGTGGTCCCGCAGCCCCCGCTCAGCCCTCATGCTTTGCCGAGCAGTGGGTTAACACTGGCGGTGGCTTCACTTCTTCGTGATGAGTCTTCAGTCGCTCCTTTTGGTGAAGGGGCCAAATGTTGCCTTTCTGAAATGCTGGCAGCTTATTTCTGCGTGGATCTCGGTGCCTCCAGGCTTATGAGGCTTTCGAGCTGAAAAAGAAACCTTCCTCTTCCATACACACTGTGCTCCTAGGCAAGGGCTGCTCCTTTAGCCAGGATTGAAACACAGAGTTTGATGTTGTGTGGGGTTTTTTTTTTTCCCCTTTGCGTGTAACTTCTCCTAAATACTTTAGAAAGCCTCAGAACTAGGGGCTGAATAGCAAGGGCTTGGTGTTCTGCAGGATCTCCTGAAAACCCCGCTGTGGTTTTGCAGGGAGCTGCTCTGTTGCTGTACGGCAACAGCGGAGCTATGTGGGAGAAAACCCGTCGGAGGGCTGCGGCAACAGGCGTGTGGGCACACTTGGGCTTGGCTTTTGAAGAGTTTGTTTCAGCAGCAAAACAAGCAGCTTCCATTAACGCAAGGGTGGCCGGCCTTCCTGTCCCCGTAAACCATGCTTGGACATTTTCAGCAGGCTCAGTGCTGTGTGCGTAGGCTGCAGTGGCTTAGCTGAGGAGAAGAGGGAGGCCTGGGAACAACTCGCGCGCAGCCTTGCTGGAGTGAAGGTGGGTTTGCAGTAGGGTCTGAGGGTCGCTGGGCAGCTCTCAGCCTCCTCGTTGGATGGCGGTGGCTCATTTCTTCTCAGTGCAGAGAAATTTGTGCTGCCCAGAGGCAGTCCCAGCATGAAGACCTCTTGTGATGGAACTTGGGACCATCATGTTGAGAAACGCTGAGGCAGAGCAATGGTGCTGGTGATGGGCGGCTTCTGGCACAAAAGTAAACCCATGCATGCACCGAAGTTCAAGGGACACGCGCTGGCTTTGGGTCTGTGACTACACGAGCTTGAACCAAGGCACATTCCTCCTGGATTAAATATGGTCTCTGATGACGAAGGAGAAAATTGTCAAGGAGGTCTGGGTGGAGTAACCAGTTCAAGCTAACCTTGCAACATAAGAGAAGTTTTAGTACGTCCTGGTTGTTGCTGTCAGCGGGGAAGAGGGCCGTGTGTTGATCCGGCACAGGACGGTTTTGGAGGGGTGGCAGGATGGGGAGGCTCTGCGTCACGGCTGCCTCTTTCAGATGTGCCGTAACAGGTCTGGTGGAGGTTGGGCCACGGTGCTTCATGTGACGTGGCAGGCGGGAGCAGACCACTGCCGTCTATTGGGGTCTAAGTTGACTTCTGGTTTTTGCCAGTAGTCGATGCTGCAGCAGAAACCGAACTTCCCTGTGCGCTGTGCGAGGCTGTGCTGTGCCCTGGAAGGAAATCCCTTCCCAGTTACAGACATCGGTAGGGATCCGCAGCGTTGCAGAGCGTGACATTTGGT